CTCTCGCTTTCACTCGTCGTCGTCGTCGTCGTCATCATCGTCGTCGCCGTCGTCATTGTCGTCGTCGTCGTGGTCGGTCTCCTGTCCGTCCATTTTGGGGTCGGGTTGCCACCGATCAGCGCTGCCGCTGGCCAGGCCGACGGGTGGTGTTGTTGCTGCTGCTGCTGTTTTTGTTATGATTATAATTGTTAATGGTGTTGTTGGTGGTGTTGTTGTCGGTGGTGTTGTTGTTGCTGCTGCTGTTGCTGTTGTTGTTGCTGCTGCTGTCGTTGTTGGTGGTGGTGTTGTTGTTGGTGTTGTTGTTGGTGGTGCTGTTATTGTCCACTTGTGCCTCGGGCGTCCTGGCCCTCGGAAAATGGAGACCCTCACGAGGATGCTGCCCATCTGGAGGAGCAGGAGCCCTCTGCAATATGTGTGGGTCAATTTTGGGTCGGGCGCCCTGGCCCCTCGGAAAGTTGCAACCCTCACTATAATGCTGCCTTCTGGAGGGGCTGAAGCCTTCTGTCGGCTCTGTAGGCCAGCTGTGGTTCGGGCGAACCCCTCCAAAAATGGCGACTCTCACGAGGATGCTGCCCCCCTGGACGAATAGGAGCCCTCTGCCGGCTCTGCAGGCCAGTTTTGGCTCGAGCGCCCCGCCCCTTGGAACGTGGCGACCTTCACCGGGGTAGTGCCCCTCTGGAGGGGCTGAAGCCCTCTGCCGGCTCTGTGGGCAAGTTTTGGGTCGGGCGCCCCGGCCCCTCGGAAAGTGGCGACCCTCACGTGGATGGTGCCCCTCTGGAGGGGCTGAAGCCCTCTGCCAGCTCTGTAGGCCAGTTGTTATTCGGGGACTCGGGTTCCTCGGAGAGTGCCCCCCTGGAGGAGCAGGAGCCCTCTGCCAGCGCAGTAGGCCAGTTTTGGGTCGGGCGCTCCGGCCCCTCGGAAAGTGGCGACCCTCACGAGGATGCTGCCCACCTAGAGGAGCTAAAGCCCTCTGCCGGCTCTGTAAACAAGTTTTGGGTCGGGCGTCCCGGCACCTTGGAAAGTAGCGACCCTCACCAGGATGGTGCCCCTCTGGGGGGACTGAAGCCCTCTGCCGGCTACGTAGGCCAATTGTGGTTCGGGCGCCCTGGTCCTTCAAAAAAATAACAACCGTCACAAGGATGCTGCCCCCCTGGAGGAGCATGAGCCCTCTGCCAGCTCTGTAGGCCAGCTTGTGGTCGGGCCTGGGAACATGGCGACCCTCACGAGGATGGTGCCGCTCTAGAGAGACTGAAGCTTTCTGCCAGCTCCGTGGCCCAGTTGTGGTTCGGGCGCCCTGGCCCCTCGAAAAGTGGCGACTTTCACGAGGATACTGCCCCCCTAGAGGAGCAGGAGCCCTCTGCTGGCTCTGAAAACCAGTTTTGGGTCGGGCGCCCCGGCCCCTCGGAAAGTTGCGACCCTCACTCTGATGCCTTCTGGAGGTGCTGAAGCCTTCTGCAGGATCCGTGGCCCAGTTGTGGTTCGGGCACCCTGGCCCTTCGGAAAGTGGCGACCCTCACGAGGATGCTGCCCCTCTGGAGGAGCTAAAGCCCTCTGCCGGCTCTGTAGGCAAGTTTTGGGTCGGGCGCCCAGGCCCCTCGGAAAGTGGCGACCCTCACGAGGATGCTGCCTCGGGCGCCCTGGCCCCTCAGAAAGTGGCGATTCTCACGAGGATGGTGCCCCTCTGGAGGGGCGGGAAGCCTCTGGCGGCTGTGCGCCAATTGTGCTTCGCGCGTTCATCTTTGGGGTCGATGTTGTGGTAATTGATGGTCCCTGGGCCCGGTAACGGGCCCTGGAGTCCGAAATCCAAGAAAAAACGCCGGATTGAAAAAAATCATCTCCTCGGATCTCTGGGTAAGTGTCTGCTCCGTAGACTTGACGAAAACTTCAGGTTCTGGGGCGCATCGATCCTGCAGTCGACCCCGAGAAGCACCAGCGTCCTCGGAAGAGCGCGGGCGGCAGACTCTCCGCCTGCAGGCTTCTCGTCGCCACGGCCAGGTCCGCCTCGAGAAACGCGTCAGGGTGGACCCCGGGAGGGAATCTGGGGTTACGTTGTCCCCACCGTACTTAGGACCCACATCCCAGAAATGATTTCGCGCACCCGGAAGAGTGTCGAAACAGTGTCGAAACAGTGACGGACGAGTGTCTCCCAGGGCCCGACACGTGAAAACCCTCGAGATTCGGTACTTGGTGCTCGAAAGTCTTTCTGGTGGTCAGGGCTAAAGCAGGTTGGAACATCAGAAGTCCGGGGATCGATTCGGAGCGGTGTGGGTCGGGCGGGAGAGCCGCCGTTGTCTCGACTGGCCTCCTTCCACTGCAAGAGCCTTTAGGGTCCTCTCCCGCACGCAGCTCACGGCGCCAAGGGCTCGGCGAGAGGGGTGCGGGGAGGGGCGGGGGGGGGGGCGGAGATGGCCATGAAGCCGAACCAGCTAAGCCAGGGATTCAAATGAATTAGGCTGGAGAAGGCAGAAACAAGCTGGATTAAGCGGGATTGTACTGGATTAAGCGGGCTTTCGACCATGGAGATACCAGCGCCGATGCTGAATCTAGTCTAACCTTCCAGGATCTGCATCCTAAGAGGGGGACTGGCGCCAGCGGAAATATGCCGTCCACGGTCGTCCAAAGTTTACGCACACTTCCCAGCAAGTTCCTGCCTCAACGCGGGCTGGGTCGTGGCTTTTGACACCGCGTGAGCCGGTCGATATTGACCGCTCTCCGCTCTGGATCCCTGGAGGCGCTGTCGCGCCTCTCCTTCGCACGGACTTCGCGCTGTGAGCTATTTTCTGTCTCGCGTGGGGCCCCGAACGGGCCACCAGAGGATGCCCGACCCTGAACGCCCACGCCAGCGGCGCCGAGGCGACGCGAATCTGCTGCGTGTTTCTCGCCTCCGAGATTGAAGGCCTCCCAGATGGGGTCCGAGTAGGAGGGGTCAAAGAATCGTGCCGCATCGCCAGTGCATCGCCAGTGCATCGCCAATGCATCGCCAATGCATCAGCGACGTCGGCGATGTATCGGCGCCCATCGGCGTGGGGAAACTCGGGCTCCCCATCGAGACGCATCGGCGATGTATCGACGATTCGGCGCGATCCGTCGACCCCATCTGCTCAAACTCCTTCTGGGAGGCCCAGAGATATATCCTGCAGGTCACCATCCGCCGTCCTCCGACGGGCCGTCGCTGTCGCTGTCCTGCCGCTGGAGGATGGCGGCGAGGCGACTGGCCGACGTCACCGGCGCGCCTGCGCGGTTCGGCGGCTCTCTCAGAAGGCGTCGGGCATCATCGTCGCAGGGTGTCGGCGGCGTCAGCGGCGTCAGCGCGGTCGTCGGCGTCGGCGGCGGCATCGTCAGCGGTGACGTCGTCGGGGGAGGAGCGGGGTCTGAAAAAGAGCTAGCCAGCAGCGCACTGGGGGTGGGAGGCTCTGGCTCTCTGATCCTACCAGCAGGATCACGGAGCCAGAGTCTCGCATGACCTCCAGATTCCGTCATCGCCCCATTCCTACCACCCCTCTCTCGGGGGCGTCCAAGAGGGGGGGTCGCAAATCGCGGCCGGCGGCGTGTGCGCGGCCAAGGGGGGGGGGCCGGGGACGTATTGAAATAAGACGAGGCGCCATCAAATCTGGGGAGATAGAATGGCCCCCGCCATGATATCCACCCCACCCTATCTTTGCCGCCACCGACTCTCTGCAGCCCGGCGCCACGGGATAACCCGCGGGGCAACCCTTCCCCATGCCATGCAACGTCCTGATCTGTTCCATACGAGGCCCCTCAGACGCCCCGACCCGTTCCCCGGGGCGGGCTTTTCGTCCTGAATCGTCCTTTGACCGTCCCGGGACCGGGGCCCAGCGAGGGCCCCCAGAAGCCGAAAAAACAAAACAAACAAACAAACAAACAAACAAAAAACGTCCGTCGGGATGTTTTCATGACGCCTGCATGTCTGGGTCTGCAACCCTGCAAGCCTGCACCACTGGACAACCCGCGGGGCCACCCTTCTTTGGCATGAAGCAAGCGGGCCCTGAGGGAAATAGGTCCTAGACCCCAGGACCTTCCCCCAGGACCCGATCTTCGCCATGAGCCGTTTTCCAACCATCCCAGGGCCCGTGGAGGGCCTGGGGGCCAAGAACAAAAAAACCTGCGGACCAGTGTGCCTCCACATACCCTCGACGTCACGATTTGCTCAGAGCGCGGACCCCCCAAGGTCTCGACCCGTTCTTGGAGACCCGTTTTTCATCCCAAGCCGTTTGGGGCGGTCCCAGAGGTCCAGCGAAGCCCGCAGACGCCGACAAACAAAAAAAACGTCGTGTTTTTCACGCAGCGAAGGGCTCATGGGTCCTGCCGATTCCGCCCCCGCCGCCTGCGGCTGGAGCGCCGACTTGGCTCCGCTGCGCAGCCGCTGGCGCGGGAGCCGCGGGCGCCCCGGGCGAGACGCTGGGCGGCGCGGGCGCGGCGGGAGCGGCCTCGGCCTCGGCCTCGGCCTCGGCGGGCGGCGGGGCGCCGCGCGGCGGCGGGTGCGCCTCTGCGGGTTCCTCTGCGGCCCCCGCAGCGGCCGCGGCCGCTGGGGGAGCGCCCTCGAACTCCCGCGCCTGGCGCTGCACGCGGTGGCCTCCGTTCGGCAGTTCCTCCCGGGGCGTGAGCCTGCTGCCCAGCGGCCCAGGCCCCGCCACGCCCGCGGTGGCCGGCGGGCGCGGGGGCGGCCGGCCGCCGAACAGCGACGACTGCTGCGCCCGCGGCTCGTCGCCGAACAGCGACGGCGCGGGGGCCGCGGGCGTCCGTGGCTCGCCGCCGAACAGCGGCGGCGCTGGGGACGCCGGCGCCCGCGGCTCGTCGAACAGCGATGCCGTGGGCGCCGCTGGTGCGAGGGGCTCAGGCGCTCCGCCCGCCGCGGTCCCCGTCCCGGCGGGCGCGCCCTGGCCTACTGCCTCGCTGGGCGCCGCCAGCGCCAGCGCGGCGCCCGTCAGCTCTGAGGCGGGCGCGGGCGCAGGCGCGGGCGCCGACGCCGCGGCGGGGTCTTCGCCAGGGCGGTCCCCAGGCACCGCCACCTCCGCCGCCGCCGCGCCCGCTGGCACCGCGGCCAAGCCGCTCGGGCCAGCGGCGCCCGCGGCTCCAGAGACCGCGGGCGCTTCCGCCGCTGGAGGGCGTGGCCGCTCCACGGGCGTGCCGCCGCCCAACAGGCGCGCGGTGGCGAGGGAGGGGCCTGGCGCATCGTCGAAGAGCGACACGGAGGGGCGCCCTGTCTTCTCGCCGCCGAAGAGCGACTGCCTCGGCATCCCCCCGCATCCCAAGACATTCTTCATCACAGAGGGCGCTTTTGTTCGAGGATGTCGGCGTCCAGGGGCTGTTATCGGGCCCTAGGACCGTCAGCAACTATCCGGAGGAAAAACAAGTCATCGGCAAACACCATGACTCCGCCCTTCTGGTTTTGTAAACTCCAAGATGATGGCGGGACTCGTGGTGTGCGTGTTGTGTTGGGGGGGTCAATGCGGCAAGACTGTATGGTTGGGTACTCAGCGGGCCGTGGGCGCTAAAAAAAAATACGTAGCACCCCGCAGATGCGGATAAGAGTGAGGGGGTGGTGGGGACGTTGGCAGTCTGTGAGACTCTGGAGAAGCCCGCCGCAGGCGCCAAAGTTTCAGAAATGATATAACGAGCCCGCCGCAGGCGCAGAATGTTTCTTCAAACCAATGTGGATCGGTCGCGGGTGGGTCGCGGGATGGGTCGCGGGTGGGTCGCGGATGGGTCGCGGGGTGGGTCGCAGGTGGGTCGCAAGTGGGTCGCGGGTGGGTCGCGGGTGGGTCGCGGATGGGTCGCGGGATGGGTCGCGGGTGGGTCGCGGGGTGGGTCGCTGGTGGGTCGCGGGTGGGTCGCGGGTGGGTCGCGGGGTGGGTCGCGGGTGGGTCGCGGGGTGGGTCGCGGGTGGGTCGCGGGGTGGGTCGCGGGGTGGGTCGCGGGGTGGGTCGAGGGGTGGGTCGCGGGTTGGTTGCGGGTAGGTCGCGGGGGGGGCGACAACAACCAACAATAATAATAATAACAACAACAACAACAACAACAAAACAACAAGAACAACAACGCGACAAGCAGAATCCTCATCAACGATTCTCACTTCAACCACGCACCCAGGGACAATGAATGACCGATTGGCCCCCATCACTCTGATGTAAGTGTGTTTTGCTGGACTGGTGTGTGGTCTGTGCTGTGCTGCGCTGTGTTGTGTTATGTTGTAACGAATCGTGGTGTGTTGTTACATGTTGTTGTGTGTAGTGTGGTGTTGTGTTGTGTTGTGTCGTAGGTGGTGTGTTATGTGCTGTGTATAATGTGCTGTATAGAATGTGTGTACAGGGTTTGGCTATGTGGTTTAGCCTGTGCCGTGTGCCCCGTTAGATGTGCACTGTGGGCTATGTGATCTGTGTTGTATGTTACGCGTTGACTGTTGTGTGCTGTGTGTATGCTTTGTGTGATGTGCTGTGCGTGCTGTGTATATGTGTATGTTTGTGTATGTTGTCATTCGTGTTGCGTTGTGCATCGTGTGTTGTCAGTGGCGTTGTGTGTGTGTGTCAGCCGTGCAGCGCCGTGTGGTGAATTCGTGGTGTTTCGTGCACGGTGTGTAGCACTGGACGGTGTGTTGGAGACGGGGGTTGCGGAGCACTGGGTGGTGTGTTCGAGACCGGAGGAGTGGAGTAGGAGGTAAACTTGAAGTTACACTTCAGAAGGGTGGTGTGTAGTACTAGATGGAGTGCTGGAGACGGAGGCTGTAAAGTACTGGGTGGCGTGTTGGAGACAAGAGCTGTGGAGTACAAGGACAAATTCCAGGTTACACTTGGGGAGAATGGTGCAGAGTACTGAGTGCGGCGCAACAGACGGAGGCTGTGGGTTACTAGGTGGTGCGCTGGAGACGGAGGCGATGGAGTAGAAGGACAGCCTAAAATTGCACTTCGGGAGGGTGGTGTGCAATAACAGATGGTGCGTCGCAGACGGAGGTTGTGTAGTTGGCGGACGGTGTGCTGGAAGCGTGGCGGCAGTGAGCAGGTGGCTTTCAAGTTACACCTCGCTCCCGAATATAAAATGTCGCATCGGAGCTTCCTGGATGCATTGTATCGGTCTGTATCTTCTTACCTGTAAGTCACAACAAGCGGGTCGGGAAAACCCGTGCTTCAGTGCGAAAATGGAGTTGAGCGTTTCCTGAAGCAGTTGTCCAGGTCCATATTTACAAACAGTATACGAAAAATAAAGCTCCAAGAAAACGCCCAGGATCAAGTGCAGATTCTCGATGCTTTACACAAAGTATAGAGCCCGAGAAAGTTCATGTTTGCTCTTAAGATTCATCGATTGGTCTACATGTAATGAAGCAGGAAAGCGTTTGAATAAGATCGGGTTCCCGCCCGCCCTTTTCAGATGAAGGAAAAATGAAAAACGTTCGCTGATCGAAGTAGGAAGGCATCTAAGGCAGATTGGGGCCCGAGAATCCAAAAGTCCAACAAAGCATTCATATTGAAACTGTGGAGGGGGACAAGAGGGGGGGGCGAGGGAGAAGAAGAGGGGGGGCGAGACAGGGGCGCAGCTCAGGGGGGAAAGACAAGCAACCGCAGAGCTGCGAACAAATCTCGCGCTTCGTCACGCATCTGCTTCGCACATACGTATGCCCCGTGTGTGTCACACCGTGGAGCTGTTTTGGAAGGGCGGTCGGGTACTCCAGATTTCGTAATCAAAGGGAGGGGGTCACAACCCTCCCAGACGAGAAGCTCTAGACCCCTCCAGACCATCCGTGAAAGGGCGGCCCTTTGCCCAGACCCCCCGAACCTTCCAAGACAGCTCAAATCAGACTCCCCCCCCCCCAAAAAAAACACTTTATTATGGAATCCGGACCTGGCCATGTAGACGGCCATCTAGGGACCGGGGGGGCCAGTCAGTGGATCTGGTATACTGGCACTTAGTGTCCAGCGCCAGAACTCCAAGAAGCGAAACCAAAGCCAACTCGAGGCGGTATCCTGCCCCCGCCAAAAGTGTCCAGGAAAGAAAGCTCTGGCCCAGTGTGGCCGCGGGGCCAGCTCCGATAATCACGAGGGCACCAGCGCGGACATCCCTGTGAGAAGGCCATCTGGCTTCCGCCGAAATCCGCCGAACTCCCGCTGGCAGGTCCCTGGGAGCACCCTGGTATACTCTGCAGCGGAGGGCTCGCCATCCCTTCCCCCAAAGACGAAGCATCTTCCTCTAACGGGCTGCGCGCACGACTCTCGACAATTGACGCGCCTTGCCAGAAAAGCTGTGTGCGTGTGTGTGTGTGTGTGCTTGCATTTTGCCCCGCCGCCTCGGCCCGCCGCTCGCGCCAAGCAGCTGGTCCAGCGCCCCCAAGCCTGGCCCAGGCCCCAGGTCGTCGTCGTCGAAGATAGACGCCAGCTGGCTGCGCCGCTGCCGCGGCTCGGGACCATCAGCCGACGCCGCCTCGGGTGCGGCGCCAGAGCCCGCCCCACTGGATTCCCTAGGCGGCGGGGCGCCTCCCAAGAGCGGATCCGCAGAGGTGCCGGCACGGCCCCCGATGCCAGCGGCCGCGGTCAGCGGGTCGGCAGCGACTGGCATCGGGGGCAGCGGCGTGGCGGTGAGCGGCGCGGCGAGCTGGCCGGCGGCGGCCGGCCGTGGCGAGACCGCCGAGGCTCCGCCGAGCGGGCTGGTGCCTCGGGCACGACTGCCGCCCAGCGGGTCGGCGGCGGTCGGCCGGGGCGAAACCGCCGAGGCCCCGCCGAGCGGGCTGGTGCCCCGGGCTCGGCTGCCGCCCAGCGGGTCGGCGGCGGCCAGCTGAGGCGGGGCTGCCGAAACCCCGCCGAGAGGGCTGGTGCCCCGGGCACGGCTGCCGCCCAGCGGGTCGGCGGCGGCCAGCTGAGGCGGGGCTGCCGAGGCCCCGCCGAGCGGGCTGGTGCCCCGGGCACGGCTGCCGCCCAGCGGGTCGGCGGCGGCCGGCTGGGGCGAAACCGCCGAGGCCCCGCCGAGAGGGCTGGTGCCCCGGGCACGGCTGCCGCCCAGCGGGTCGGCGGCGGCCGGCTGAGGCGGGGCTGCCGAGGCCCCGCCGAGCGGGCTGCTGCCTCGGGCACGGCTGCCGCCCGGCGGGTCGGCGGCGGCCGGCTGGGGCGAAACCGCCGAGGCCCCGCCGAGAGGGCTGGTGCCCCGGGCACGGCTGCCGCCCAGCGGGTCGGCGGCGGCCGGCTGAGGCGGGGCTGCCGAGGCCCCGCCGAGCGGGCTGCTGCCTCGGGCACGGCTGCCGCCCGGCGGGCTGGTACCTCGGGCACGGCTGCCGCCCAGCGGGTCGGCGGGCGGTGCGACCAAGGCTCCGCCGAGCGGGCTGGTGCCCCTTGCCAGACTGCCGCCCAGGAGTCCTCTTTGCTCGTCGTGCCCCTCCCCCTTGGCCCCCCCTGCTCGTCCTCCCCTCTCCACCGACGACGACGACGACGACGACGACGACGACGACGACGAAGACGAAGACGATGACGATGACGCCCGCGGCCGCGGCGACGACTTCCCTGGCGGCGACGGTGACCGCGGCGGCGGCGACTGCGACTGCTGTGGCCACCAGCAGCAGACCCACAGACTCGCCCGACTAGCCCCTCCGAAGCGCCCTCGCGGCAGCCCTCTGCGCTCCGGCGCGCGCGCGCCTCTCCGCACGCCCCGCCCCGCGGTCGTCCTTCTCCGGCAACGGGCCCAGGCGCGCCGCCCTGGGAAGTGGAGGAAAAGAGGAGGAGGAAAAGAAGAGGAGGAGGAGGAGGAAGAGGAGGACCTCAGTAAACCAAAAATGCGTACTATGTGTTTGAGCCTGCTGTCAATGCCTGCCCTGTGTCTTCTCACACTTTGGAGCCTCCTCATGGGCCTTCTTGCACGCTGGAGGCAACTGCCATTGCTCGCTTTCTTGACGCCTGTGAGCCAATTGCCACAGCGCCCCTGCATCAAACTCTTGAATGTTCTAGCCCTCTTCAGCCCGCTGCCACTGCTCGCTTGTTTCCCCTTCTTGCGCCAACTGCCACTGTTCATGTTATGTTCTCACGCTAATGAACCAACGGCCACTGCACCCCTGTTCCGCACGCCTAAACCAGTCGGCACCGCCCATTGCTCTTGCTCGTTGAGCCAGCTGCCACTGCCCGTGTTTCTCACACTCTGCTGCATGCTGTCATTGCCCGCTGTCCTCACAGATTTGAGTCTCATGTTGTGCCTGTTGTTCCTGCTGTTCCTCCGCTCGTGGGTGTAATAATAGGGAGGGAAGGGGCAGGAAGAAAACGCGGAGATTGCCATGTTGTTAGGCAGTGCCGCGAACACATGTGACGCTAATTGGTACCGGCAAGTACATGCGCTTTCCTGCTCGTCCCAGGTATTGCTGCTGACCCAGCCGGCACGAACGCGGCCGCGTCCTTGCTTAGAGCTTAAAGTGGTTGACTACGACTGTTTCGCTTTCGACCCGCGCAAGCGCCATCTTCGTCTCTGCTGATATTGAGTTCACGCTTCGTCTCTGCGAGGCGGCTTCCACCTTCGAAGCTGATGGCGATGGTATGATACATCATGTCACCACCCTCGTAGCTGACATCGTTGGGCTCTCGCTTCGCACGTCCTGTTGTGGCACGTGGATGACAGCATAGGGTGCCCGAGCCACGGCCACCTTCTCGCCAGAACAATCGTTTTACTTCCCATCCTGCTGCTTGTAGGCATCGTCGATACTGTGTTTCTGATAGCCGCTCTGATGTTGACGACTGTGGTTTCCACACATGTAGCCTCTGTGCGAAATCAAGACCACGTCTTGCGCGTGTTGCGTGTGCCAGCCCTCTTTCTGGTTGCGAACGCCCGTCTGCGGGCCGCAGCCCGCGCGTGCCTCGCTTCACGCAGACGCCTAGGACGCGGCAAATCCTGAACAGCATGGTCCACCTCGGAACCATGCCTCTCATAACGGACCATGGCACCCCCCCCCCGGCGCGGCGGCCGAGGTGGGGGGGCGCGGTGCTGGCCCGCAGGGGCCCACAGCGTCGAGGGGCCCAGGCCAGGGCCGACATGACCCTCCTCATCCTCCTCGTCCTCCTGCTGCACTTCCCGGAAGGTCGATAAACTCGCGGAGCAATGCCGACGTGCACACACGGCCGATTCTCGAAACCCCAAGTCCAAACCGGTTGACATCTCGCGGGGGGCGCACGTCTTACTTCCGCCACCTTCCGCCGGCGGAGCCGCCCTCGTTTTGCTTTCGCCGGCTTCTGCTGACCTGCCCCCGGCTTCCGCCGAGGAAAAGACGTCGACACCTCGACCCCTCGAAGACGAAAGGCCCTTCCTGAAGAACCTCCGCTTGGATCGGCGCGGGGGTTGCTAAGGGGAAAGGGTGGTTACCAATGGATGCCATGGTGGGCTATATCTGGACTGACCTTGCCTGCAAGTGGGGCACAAGAGCCGTAAGCGGTTCAGGGGGAGTGAACCGCCCGGACCCATGTGGGTTCCGTCCACTCAGCGCTCAACGGAGCTGTCTGAACCCACTACGCCGCTTGGGGCATCTGGATCACACCTATAAGCGGCCACCTATCAGCGAGCCCAGGCCAGCTATCGCACGCCCTGGCATCCACTGCCAACGCCCATTTATCCCCCCATCACCCCCCGCGCCACCGGGGCCTCGTCGCCGAAGAGCGCGCCCCGCGGCGCCGCGGCCGCCCTCGCCTGTGGCGCCGCGGGCGCGGCGGAAGCCGCGCCGTCCACCCCGAAGAGCGCCTCCCTCGCCGGGCTCCCCCGCGGGCCGCCGCCGCCGCCGAGGGGAAGGCTCCCCGCGGGGGCCGCGGCGGCGGGCGGCGGGCTGCCGCCGCAGGGCGGGCCGCCCGCGGGCGGATCGTCGCCGAAAGTGTACGCGCGCGGCCGCGAGGCCGCGGCGGCGGGCGGGTCCCTCGCGGGGGGGTTGTCTCCGAACAGCGACGCCCTCGCCCGGGCCGCCTGGCCGGGAGCCGCCGCGGGCGGCCTGCCGGTGGTGCGCAGAATGGGCGCCGATGCACCACCACCGTGTCGGGGCCAGGGGTCCCCCTGGGCAGCTGACGCGGCGCGAGCGTGCGCCCCCCATGTGTTCGGTCCGTGCACCCTCCTGGGGACGAGGATGGGCCTGGCCTGGCACGGTGGTGGTGCAAAGTTGCCATTCGCGGGCAGAATGGGGAGGAGAGGAGGAGGAGGAGGAGGAGGAGGAGGAGGAGGAGGAGGAGGAGGAGGAGGAGGAGGAATTAGAGGAGGAGGTAAAGGAGGGGGAGAAGGAGGAGGAGGAGCAGGAGGTCCACCTCCTCTCGGCATCTGTCTATATGTATCCCCATGTTGCAGTTTACCTATAACCGCCGGTGACCCTGGCGCGGTGCTCCAGGGGTCACCTGGCCCTAGCTCAACCCCCCAGGACCGACCAGCCTGGGGGGGAGGCTACGTTCGACGAACATTGCAGCAATCAGGGGTCAGAACTATAGATATATATAATATATCATGCATGTACTGCATAAGCGACAACATAACTATGTGGTAGACGCTCACGTCCGGATAATAACTTCCACCAACTGCGACAAAACATACAGCCAGAAGATGAAGTAGAAGTAGCCGACCTCGAAATGACCAAGATCAGAAATATCAGCTGCATTCGCAAACGCACATGAAGAAATGATGCTCCTGATGTAAGCATGCTCAAGATCTATCGGCAGCATTTCCCACAACTCTGCACAAGAAAAACCACACGAGGAAATCAACCCATAGGCGTGGGATCTGTGAGGATTTCTTCGAGGCCGCCCCTGAGGATGGAAATAGCCACAGCACAGACTGCAGTCATCATCCTGGCGCGGTCCTGGTACGTATCTGAGATGTCGTAGGTGACCCAGTCTGTCTTCGCCGACACTCTGGGTATCGATGTCCAGAACGCCGGAGGCAGGGAATACTTCAGAGTAGTTTCTTCTCGGTCGCGGCGGTACCTGGGGCACTCTGTGGTGCGGTGGCCGAAGGAAGGGAAGGGCTTATTGCAGCGCTTGCAGGGGCATCCCGTCCTTCTCCTCGTTTCGGATGAGACCGCTCCACTTCGAAAAATCTTCAGTAGAGCCTAGTCATCCTCGTGCAGCTTGTCTGTCCACGTGGTGAAGATTTTGCTGGAAGAAACCTCTGGGTCCACCTCTGAGATCTCGTCCGCGTCCCAGATTTTGTCATCGACTTGCTGCAAGCAACGGGTCCTCGCCACAACTCGGAGTGCGTGGAGGGCCTTGTCACTGCCTGTCCAGAAACGCCAGTAGTCGTCCACCAGCTGCTCCGTAGCTTTGTGTACCCGATGATCGTCGTGCGGATCGACCTCAAGTTGGACTCCCCGTTGAGGTGAGAATCCGATGTATCGCAACCCCAATGCAGTAGCGTACTGCTCCACAGCTGTGTCCAAATAGCCAGACCAGATAATCTTGGGATCCTGAGCTTTGGCCAGCGCCATGATAGAGGCTGAGAATACTGGATGTAGATGTATACGTCGGGCCCACCATCTGCCAGTACACCACAATCTCGAAGACGTGCGTACGATGGAACGAAACAACTTTTTTGCCAACTCCATGGGAGGTGGGGCCATCAACGGACTCGCCCACGTCCACACAGGTCGTACATATGCCATGGCCAGCTTCGCGCGGACCATCTGCGTGCCTGGGATGGCGCCCAGCTTGTCGATACTCGCCTCCACCTTGGACCAACCTTGACGGGGGAGCATGGGGATCTTGTCGTTGGTGGGCGCCGCGAGGATGCCCAGGTGCTAGATGAGGGTATGCGTCAGATCTGCATCACTCCACATCTGCCTCTCGCTCACGTTCTCCACGTAGCCGATGGACTCGTCGAAGACCGCCGTCGCGTCGAGGTCGTCCTTCAGCAGCTCTGGGGACTGGTTGGTCAAGGACCTGTCGCCCATGAAGCAAAGGCCTCTGCCTTGAGGTTGCCACGGCTCGAGGGTGGCGATGAGCGCGCAAGGAACGAGGCTATCCCCTTGAGGGAGACCTCCCTTTGGATACATGGGTTCTGCAAGTGCGCCATGGACCGAGCAAAGACGAGGGCCTGACCAGGCCGCGGCGCACACGAAGAGAATGATGTCGGGGAAGCCCGACATGTCTAAGCTTTCAAGCGCAATCCCATGTCCAACGTGGTCATAGGCCTTGCTCAAGTCCATCTCGGCTCCGTCGGTGGACTCGGCGCAGTCGCCCAGCCACACACTGATGGCGCGCGCAGCTGATGATCCTGAGCGGTTCGCCCACTGATTGTCTGGCGGCACTGGGGCAGCCACTGCAAGCGTTCTCAACCAGACCCGAAGCAACACCGAAGCAACAGCGATGGGTATGGTATCCGACTCTCCTTTTGGAATACCTGCGATACAGATCCAATAGATGCTGTGGCAGACGCCCTCGAAGTAAAACTGCACGCCGAGAGGTACCCAGCCATAAATCGAAAAGCTCACGCGTGATGGTCGGGAACACGCGCGCCAAGGTCCGGAGCTCACGGCAACCCCAACCATCCAAGCCTGCACACCCTTTCGCTTCTTGCAACGCCCTCTCGAAAGTATCGCACTCTGGTTCCAAATCGGATGCCATCGAAGACTGTGGAAACACGACGTTGTCTGCATGCTGCCTCCACTTCTCCAGATGACGATCAGGATGACAAACATCTTGCCATTGACGTCTCATCTCCACGGCCGCCATGGCTGCCGCTGGGGATGAGCTTCTAAGTGTAGCTGCCGACCAGGCTTCTGAGGACCACGTCGCGAAACGTTGCCTCCAGCTCTTGTTTGACCGATGCTGCAACCGAGCTCGCTCACGAGAAATAGCACGTAATAACCAATCTAGAGCATATCCGTATGCGGGGTGCCCTATCGCTTGTACTTCCACGATCCCGTCGAGCGCTGCGGTAGCCAACTGACCGAAATGCTTGACACGGAGACCTGAAGTGGGACGCCCTTCTCGTCGAGGGGCGTCTGCGAAGCGCCGATGGAGCCTGAGAAGCCTCCTCAGCGCTATGGATTGACCTTCTCAATGGCAAGGGGAATTGGCCGTCGGCCGCGTCGTAGCTGCCGAGCCCCATGCCATCTCCGCCTCCATCTCCAGCGTGACACACTGATGACTGACTGCAATAACCAATGCATACTCCGCCAGTTGATGCCAGTAGTTCCAGCGCTCAACCAGGTCATGATGTTCTTCTTCGTCTGGTTCTGGAAGATGAGGTGGACCGCACAATTGATCGACCTGCTCCTGCATGAGATTGCGCACCTCCTCAGACACTGACTTCTTGATCTGAACGAAGGCGGCGGTACGTCTGAGACGTAGGGCGCGCTGTTGGAAGAACGGAACCTCCAACTCGTAAGATACAGAACAGTGATGTGGGACTCCAGGTAGTATCTCTGTGCAAACATGCACCGGCGGAGCACCTGACCCCCAGTGGAGGGCGCGTGTGGGCTGCGCCCCCGCAACCGTAGTCGACGCATCAACTCCTGCTTTCATGGTATTGATCTTCCAATGTGCTGCAGCATCCTGGCAGACACGTCCCCAGTTGAGGCCCCCTACCACGTAGATAGGGCAACCTATGATGCTCGTGTTCTGGAAGATGGTGAACGCGCCCTGACTCCAATTGCGATTGACCTCTGCTGGCCCGTAGACCGAAAGAAAGGTGGCCGAAGGAAACCGAAAACCAATCATCCTGTGACCGAGCTGAGAATTGCGCAGCACCGTAGCCCTGCCCAGGGACCGTCTCCAGAGAATGATACAGCCACCTTGCCGCGGTGCCCCTCGCCGGTGGCCCCTGGCGATGACGATAGGTGGTGGTGCGGAGCAAGCTGCGCTCCACCCTGCACGTGCTGCTTGTTGTATGATCCAAGGGGGTCGTTCTTCATAGTGTCGAGACTCCTGCACACATACCACACCCGCCTCCTGGACAAAAGCGGAGGCCAACAGGGTCGTGAACCTGGCTTTCGCGAGACTGGTGATGTTGATCGAGCAGACCGCCAACCTCGATGGAGCTGGGGCGGGAGGTACTGCTTCGCCTGGTGTAGGATCCTGGGTGAGTCCTGCAACTGGCACCTGCTGTGGATCGTCTTCTGGGTGTGCGCGTCGTTCTGCATGGTCTTGAGTGGGGTCCTCAGCGTGCTGAAGATCTTCTTCTTGGTGAACATGTCGTTATCCTGGGCGCCCTGACGCTGATGCCAGAGCATCGCTGCCAGGTTTTGAAGCTGGAGAGGAAGATGAACTTGCACCCGCAGCTTTTGGGTCCGTAAACACGGCCTTTGAATTATGATCAGCACAAACTGTCTTTGAATAATGAACAGCACAAGCTGTCTTTGAATCATTGCGTGCTCTCTTGTTGCGAGGCTCGCCTTCGGAGATCCCCGCTGCCGAGAACTCGGCGCGCTGCTTCTGGGACGTCGACGCGCGCCTCCGCCCACCACCCAAGAGCGGATCTCGCCACAAGAAGGACGTTGCTGCTGCTGCCGCCTTGCGGGCGGCATACCGTTCACGCTGGCGCAAGTTAAGGGCCTGCAGCTCGGTCCGCGTGAGGATCGTTCTCTGCTTCATCGGGATGATGCCCAAGGCCTTCCTCCTCGCGTACTGCTTGCGGCTGTACTGGGCGTAGTATTTCTTGTACTAGTCAGGTTCTCGCGTGGCCCTCTTCTCCCAACTCATCTTGGCCTGCTTGCATGCCCCCCGGTGGAAATGCTCCGTCTTGGCCACTCCCACCTTCGTCGCCATGGCGCCCTTGAAAGAAATGCCCGCTGGACGCCCTTTGCAAGGGATAGACTTGATCCTCGAGAGACATGCGTTCTTGCCGCACTTCGAGCACGCGCAGTACGTCTGCCTCATCGTGGACCTCTGAATCGCGTGACAAATGGTCTCGTTGATCTCGCAAGAGACCTCTTTGATGTCGGGCGGCTGATCGCCCCACCACTTGCCGAAGTTCCCCCAGGCCTTGTCGCGCTTGCCCTGGGACATGGCC